GCTGCCCCACACAACCCCGTGTAAGGAACTGGAGAATAGTCTAGAGCTAGAATAATAGACCTCACACGGATTCAGCTCCTAACCCTTTCAGCCGAAAACTGTTGGGAAATATCTTGTAAAGCTCTTTTGGATCTTCTGAGCAGTTCGGAATGAATTTTGGGGGTCTTATTCTGTCATTACACATGCAGATTACAACGAATCTTCGTGACAGCGGAATACTTAACCGGAAATTCTAATGTTTTTTCAATAACAGTTCCCTCCATTCCAGATTCATAAATGAAATTACTACCAGTACTTGTTCTTATCCAACTCACACTTTCCCATTCTTTACCATCTCCTATCCGTTCAGCCGACTATGAAGGACCGTGGATCCGTCGAGTAAGATCAAATGTGAGTCTTGAAACGATGTGCACTTTCTATGTTTCCTTCAGATGTTGACTAGACTCCTTTTTACCTTGTTTACATGTTTTTTTGAGTATATTCGTTTGAAGTACATTTTGTTTACTTCAATAGTCGTGTCGTCTCTTCTTTGTTGACAAAGTCTTGATTGCTGAGGGACCACCTGGCTTTGAAATTCGCTGTGGAGCTCTATGAACAGTTTTCATATGTATGAGAACCTTCCGAAACCTAATAATTCAAAAGTGCTGTTGAAAATATCGACTATTCTTAGAAAATCAATTCGTAGATAACTTAGGGAAAACTTGAGACAACCCTGCTCTGTGCTCCCGTTGGTCATAGAAGTGTTCCGAGTGGGGCTTCCGTAACGCCTCCCTTCATACGGTGGGTTTCTTGTGCTCGCTTAGCACGATGCACTTCATATCACTGTCCAGAACATCTGTACCCAAGTCTGACCCTGACCATAGGTCCCTCCATCATCGGCTCTGGTGTCAAACTTCTTGAATGAAGCTCTAATACATGGGATCCTCAACCCTCACTCAGTTCATTGTTTCAGCGATATACGCATTCAGTGTATTTTACAGTGATCAACATGAGTAGAGTGCGTGGCGCTTTTTGAAGGGTCGCTCAGTGCTGTCCATTGAACGAATACCCCAGCCCCTTGGGAAATTGCTGTTCATTTCTTGCAGCTTTCGGAATTTCCTATCCTTCATGATTTTGAACGATTTCTACTTTGCCTGTTATAGAATGTTTTGTTGTATCGTGAAAAACGCCAGAACTACCCGAGAAGGTATTACAATGTCGTCGCAATCAGTCGGGGCGGTGTCAGAAGGCATCGACTGGGCCTACCCACCGCATTTTCTACCAGTTGCTGTTTTAGTCCTGAAAAATTCGGTCAAATGGATCATTGTTGATAGGAAACGCAGCCGTGAGAGGGCTTATTTCACCCCTCCCCCTGACACCGCCTTAAAGATACATTCCGCAATTTCCTAATAGGTCCTGTTTACAGACGGCGTAGCTCTGGCCGCAGAACGGTCTCGGTCCCACTTGGCGCAACCTCACGATGAGAGAGATAGAGCCAGCGGTATCATAAGCCGAAAGTGCACCACTCGTAGAAGGTGCCCCGCCCATTCGGGAACGAAATATGCGAGAGGTTCAACATTCAAAACATGGGTGTGACGCGCTGCTTCCTTCATTTTTTTGCTGGACTACCCTTTGTTGTCTGGCTCGGCTTCAGCACGTACCTCCGTCTCTCACCACTTTTTTCCTCTGGCCTCCCAATCCGGCGAGTAGTAGCGCTCCCTCCTTCTAATATGCGTCAAATTTGGGCTTTTAGTATTTCTAAATTTATATGGGGTTTGCCTACTTCTTTTTCCGCTGGCTAGTAAAGAAGCACTTACCATTACATTTTTGGACCCTAAAGCCCACAAATTATAATCGCGGAATGCAGCATTGAAGCAGCTGACCGGAAGCCGAGAATGTCGAAGGAACTCATTTGAAAAAAATCTCTCTAAAAATTTTCTCTCAACATTACAGGAGGTTATGTAGTCACGCTATTGAAATAAATGTAAATAACTTGTTTTTCAACATTTCAGCCATCCATACCCCCATCATCGAAAGGTGGACGTATCGTGAAAGTGTTCGGATACACCATACATGTCCCGCCCTTTGTAGATTCTATGATTGCTGCGGTAAAGTAAGGTTTGACTCGATCCATTTCCGGTATTATTCTTTCGAGTTCACCTTGTTACTAATTTTTATTAGAGATTTTTATTGAATACGTGATTTTCAAAGTCTTCAGCTCAATTCACTTGAATCTATTGCTTGCAGAAACTTCTTCGTCGGTCCGTCAGGTGTCATCACTCGGATCAAGAACTTTTTGCAAGGAAATGTAAGCCTTCGATCCTCCCAAAAACCTTTATCAAAACTAAACAAAAAATGAAGCAAAATTGTTGAGAATGCTCTTGTGGGATTAAGATTTGATAAATATGCATCTTAGAGCAAAGTATCGGCGAAATTCTTTGGACGAAAGGTCGACTTCCAAGCGAATGTACCGCTGTCGGCTGAAGAGGTTGGGAAGTCGTTCAGTTCGTTTCTACACAAATTACGAACGGATCCGATG